TTTAAATTATTATAATATTGATTCTTGAGAAGGATGTTGGGGTGTGTTTTTATAATAATTTTAAATTGGATGGGAGTTAATTATGAAAATAAAAATAAATAATATTTGATTATCCAATGAAATAATAAATTAAAAAAAATAAAAAAAATAAAAAAAAAATTTAATGTAAAAACACACACATAATATAAATTATTTAAAAAAATAAATAAATAAACCACAAATAATTTAATTAATATTATTATTTTAATTAAATTAATTAAATATTAATTTTTTCTATATATATAATATTTTTTTATATTGTAATTCTTTTATAATGGAATGAGGTGATGGAATTTTTGTTGTAATTATCTATTGCTTTTTTTAAAAGACACACACAACACGATAAAAATAAATATTAAATATTACTACTACTATTAATAGTAAGAAATATTATTATTTTTGCTATTTTTTTAAAACTAAAGAAAAACATATAAAATTATTTTTAATATACGATAATTATTAAACTTACTCCATAAAAGGTAAAGTATACTATAAATTATAAATAAACCTTTTGTTTTTGAAAATATCGGTATTATAGTATTTATTATAAAAATTATTTTTTATAATAAACATTTAACAATGAGGTTTTTTGATTTATAATGATTATTTTTATAATTTGTGAAATATGAAATTAATTAAAAAAAAAATACTATTCTAATTTTAATTAATTTATATATCTATTATAATTATTATTTTTATTATTTTTATTGTTATTGTTAAATTATAAAAATTTTAAAAAAATTATTAAAAAATGTATTTCTAAAGGATGAATATAAAAATATAAATTTTGTATTTAAAATTATTATTTTTGTATTTTTTCTTTATATAGTTTTTATTTTTGTTTTTATCTTTCTAAAAAGTTGTTTTAAAATAAAATAAAAACTTTTTTTTTAAAGAGTAGAGAAAGCTTTAGAAAAAACAAAAAAAAAAACCATACTCATAGTTTTTTAATTGTAATAAATATTCAATGGATACTAATATTATGTAAATTTTGAATAAACATTTTCTATTATAGTATTATGTGTTTCGTATTTTTCATTTTTTAGAAATGGGGGTAATAATAATTAATTCAATTTTTAAAAATTATTGTGTGTTAATAATAAAATATTTTTTTTATATTTTTTTTAAATTTTTTTTTTATATTTTTAGTTTTTAAAAATTTAATTTTTAATTACCAAAATTAATTAAAGTTTTGAAAATAGCCCATTAAATTGAATTTAAAAGCATAATTTTCTTTATATAATTTTTTACTTTTAATGGGGCAAAATAGTTTTAATAATTATTAAATAATTATAGTTTTTAAGAAAATATCATCATTCCTATTTATGACTTCTTTTATTTGATAAAATTTATATAATCCATATTCTAGATTTATAAAGAAAAAAAAAGTAAAAATAAGTATATAAAACAAGATATTTATATCAATTTTTATTACCTCTTTTTTTTTATAAGTTTAATTTTTTGAAATTTTTTAGTTTTTTTTTTAGTTTATGTATTTTATTATATTTTTTTAAGGTTTTTTTATTTTGGTAAAAAGTTTATATATTTATTATCTTTTTGGAGTAATTTCTTTATTTTTTACCAAACATCTTCATCATATTTAAAACTTCTGGATTGTTTAACATGCTACCAATGTCACCATTCTTTAATGATTCAGCCATTTGTGGGTTTTGCATGAATTGATTGGCCATATTTCTAATCATTGGATTGCTCATTAAACCGTTAATGTCGATACCACTGAGATCTGGCATACCTGGAATATTTCCTAAACCACCCATACCATTATCTTCTTCTTCACCATTTTGAGCGAATTTTTGGGCAGCAGATAAAGATGCTTTGAAGGTTTCATTGTTTGGTTCAATATCGACAGCTTTTTGATAGGCATCGATGGCTTCTTCATAACTACCTAATGAAGCATAGGCTGAACCCATTCTATTATAAGCTTTACCATACTTTGGATTTCTTTTGATGGCTTCTTTACAATCTGAAATAGCTTCGTTGTACATCTTTAATGTGGCGTAGGTTGCACCTCTGTTGGCAAAATAAATTGCATTTGAATCGTCATAAAGAATGGCTTTATTGTAACATTCGAGAGCACCTTTAGTATCACCTTCATTTAATTTATTATTACCTTCAACTTTAATTTTTTCTGCAATTGCTTTAATTTCGTTCTTTTTACTTTCAATGAATTTTTGTTTTGATGCATTTAAAACTGGTTCAATTTCTTTAAAAAATAAAAATAATTATTAGTATTTTATAAACAAATCTATTGTATGATTATGGTGTAGTTATCATTATTATTATTATTATTATTATTATTATTATTATTATTATTATTATTATTGATGTTGGTTTTAAACTATTATTACTTACGATCTGGGTTATTAAAGGCACCTTTTTGTTCAATTATATTTATAAATTGTTTGAATGAATCTAAGAGTTCTGCTGGGATTTCAGAGTAGGCTTTTTCAAGTAATTCTTCTTTTGATTTTTTAGTGGTGGTGGTAGTAGTGCTGGTGGTGGAAGCTGAAGTATTGTTATTTAAGTAATTTTCAAAAATTGTGGATAATGGAGTTGAAACTTGTAATGAGGTATCCTTTTCATCGACGCCAAAAACATCTCTGATACATTCAACAGCAACTTGAATACTTTCAGCACTATCTGAATCGTTTGTAGTTGATTCTTTTAAGAATTGTAAAATACTGACTGCTAATTTTTTGTTATTATCTGCCATTTTAATATTTTAAAAAATTATTATAATAATAATGATTTATTTAAATTTAAAAAATAAAAAAAAATAAAAAAATTTTTAAATTTAAAAAAAAAAATTAAAAAAAAAAAAAAATTTTAAAAAAAATATTTAAATATTTTTTTTATTTTTTTATTTAATTTAAATAATATAATATAATAATAATAATAATAATAATTAAAAAAACCTCCACTCAACTGCAGTCAACATAATTATTATTTAACACTTTGTTAAAGTTATCAAAAAAAAAAATTAAAAAAAAAATTAAAAAAAAAAAAATAAAAAACTATACATTGTGAAGTTGGACGACATTAAACTGTTTTTATAATAATAATTTTTAGGTGTTATTTAAATTTTTATATACTTAAAATAGTAATACTAAAACAACACACTAAAATAATAAAAAACAGAAATAAATAATAATATAAAGTAATAATAGGAATAATAATAAATATAAATAAATAAATAATGACAGCATATAAAAGATTAATTCAAGAATATAAAGATTTAACATTAAACCCACCAGAAGGTATTATAGCAGGTCCAACTGATGAAGAAAATTTATTTATTTGGGACGCAGTTATTATGGGACCCCCAGATACAGACTATGAAAACGGTTTATTTACTGCAGTTTTAACCTTTCCTACCGATTATCCTTTAAATCCACCAAAAATGAAATTTTTATCTGAAATGTTTCATCCAAATGGTAAGTATCAATACTACTATTAATAATCACTTTTTAAACTCTTTTTAACATATATTATAAAATAAAAAGTTTATCCCAATGGTGAAGTTTGTATAAGTATATTACATCCACCTGGTGATGACCCAAATCATTATGAAAGTAGTGTCGAAAGATGGTCACCTGTTCAATCAGTCGAAAAAATTTTATTATCTGTTGTATCAATGTTATCAGAACCAGTAAGTAGATAAAACCATAGATTCTAATTTTCATAAAGAAAAAACATTAACATTAATATTAAAATAAACTTAGAATATAGAAAGCCCAGCAAATATAGAAGCAGCAAGAATGTGGAGAGATAATAAAAAACAATTTAGAGATAAAGTTCATAGAACAGTTAGAAAATCGTTAGAACTTGAAGATGAAATATAACAATAATAATAATAATAATAATAATAATAATAATAATAATAATAATAATAATAATAATAATAATAATAATAATAATAATAATAATAACGATAACGATGCATCCTAAAATATATATAGAATTAAAATAGAATATAACATATCCTAAGCATTTAATTGTACAAATAAAAGTTTACACCTAAAAAAATATAATTATATTATATTATATTTTAATAATTACATATGAATGTCTTTTTAACATTCATTTTAACCAAATTTTACTATATACAATTTATTTTTATTTTTTTAAAATTATTTTTTATATTTTCATATTGTTATTTCACTTATTTGATGATTATGCAGTGGTTGTAGTTGATTCTGCTGATGATGCTGGTGATGGTGATGATTCTGGTTTAGTAGCAGCTTGTACAACTGGTTTTTTTGGTAATGGATATTGCTTCATAACTTTATCTAAATTTTTACCGAAAACTGAATGCATAATTTGAATTTTTCTAGCATCATGAATTTTATCTGATTTTAATTTATTAATAATTGTTTCTGACTCTTTAACTATAATAATAAAATTGAATGTTAATACATTAGTATCCAAATGCCAATAATAATAATAATAATAATGATGATAATGATAATGATGATGATAATTTACATTGTTCTTTAGTAGTATCTTTTCTTTGTTGACCTAAAACCAATTGATAAATTGCCCATTCAATTTGTCTGTTGAATTTCTCTTCTGCAGTTTCTGGTTTTGGTGGCTCTGGTTTAGCAACAACAGCTGGTGTTGATGAAACACCAGATTCTTGTTCTTGTTTTTGTCTTAATTTCTTTTCCTTTTCTTTTAATCTTTTCTTTTGACCTTTTGATAATTTAGTTTCCTCTGTAGTAGATACATTTTCTTCTTTATTGTCAGTAGTATCAACTTCCTCTTCTTCTTTTTTATTGATATCTAAATTATTTAATTGTTCATTTACAATTTCTGTGCCACTGGTTGCTGTTTCCATTTTTTTTATTTTATATTTAATTTTAAAAACGAAAAAAAACTATTTTAAAAAAAAAAATAAAAAAAGGGTGTGTTTTTATAAAAATTTAAAAAAAAAAATTTAAAAAAAAAAAAATAAAATATTAAAAAACGAATGTATTCATTTCACTAATTGAATTTATATAATATTGTAATTATATAATTTTAATAATATTATATAATATTATAATATTATATAATATTATATAATATTATATTATTAAATTTTATTTTATTTTAGTTTTCTATTATAATATTATTGTTTTTTTTTTATAATAATTATTTTTATTGGGCAAGTTAAAACTATGGTTATAAAATTGAAAATGTTTTATTATGAAAATATATACTCGTCATCATCAAAATCAAAGTACCTTTTTATAAACAAAGAGAAAAAAACTATTTTACATTTTCTTTAAAAAATCAATAATATCTAAAATATTTTAGTTAATTTTATTTATTTTTAATTTTTTAAATAAAAATCAGTGTGTGATTTGGATCATTTGATTTTAATATTGGGTATGCCATAAATAGACTCCATCGCACAAAAAATTTAAAAAAAAAAAAAAA